ACATGCAATATTATTGCTGAGAAAACACTAAAATGTAGTTTAAAAAAATTAAAAAAAACTTTAAATTAAAAAAAATCTAAATTCAAGAATATCACGATCTCTGTGAGTCTTCATGCTTGGGGTTGCCAGATATTAAGAGTTTAAAACAGTGATTAAAATATTAGTTGACGCCCTTTTTATGACTAAAACGAGATGAAAACGAGGTGACACAGACATCATTAAACTTTAACTGTGACTATATCAACTTGCAGTATCACTGATGAAAAAAGTGAATGAAAAATATTTGTTGACGGCTGTTTTTTTTTTCCAAGGCGATACAGACATCATTAAACACTAACTGTCACTATATCAATATGTAATATTGTTGATGATAAGAGATGCAACTAAAATGTTGTTTTAAAAATAAACTCTCTATATCCCAAATTTCTATATATATTCTTCAACAAAAACAGAGGAGAAAAAAATAGACCTCCAGCAGTTTTTGTGCTTGCAGTTACAAGATTACAAAAGTGTAAATCCCCCTACTTAGTGTTAATTTTATTACAGAAAGCAACCTTTTTTTCCCATGACGAAGACAAAATGACACTGACATTATTAAATGCTAGCTGTGACTATATCAACATACCAGATAAAATAAAACAAATTCAAAATTCCAATATTTCTCTATTTCTCTTAAAAAAAAAAAAAAGTAGAGAAAAAAATGTAACATTTTACCAGATTTAGTCCTACACTTATTCACTTTTATTTGTTCCCCACTAAATAATGTTGTTTCACTAAATGTTTAGATTTCATAAAATTGTGCACTCATGATTTTTCTAGAATAAATTTTGCTGCTGAATTATCCACTAACCTAGTTTATAATAGTATTTTTGTCATAGATATATTTTTTCATGTTATTTTTCATTACAATGAAGTTGTCTATATTTAGTAGATTGTGTTTAACACGCAAAAGAGTGATGATCAGGTCAACACACAGAAGTATAGAAATTCTACATTGATTAAATAAAAAGCACTGGGATCGGATCTGAAAAAATAGTATCCTTGCATCCCTAATTGAGATGCAATATCATTGACAAAAAAAGACGAGAAAAAATAAAAACTGTTTATATCCAAAATGTCTCTGTAGATTTTCTTCAACAACAAAAAAAATAAAGAAGAGGAGAAAAAAATAGACCTCAGTGAGGTTCCATGCTTGCATTTGCCAAATTTCAAGAGTATAAATCCCTCAGTCAAATAAATGACAACAGTGATCAATAATTGCAATTTACAATCAGTTTAACCATTATGCAGCATGGATAAAATATGTCTTAGTTTTAATGGACTAAAACGAGACTAAAATTCCCAGACTTTGTCAACTAAAACTTGACTAACCCACAAACAGGACTAAGACTAAATTACAAAAATTCACACTAATGCAGGTTGAAAGTGGAACAAGTGCAAAGGTACGCCGACGCTCTGTATGCTGAAGTGGCTCAGCTGGAGGAGAAACTCAGGGAGAACGTGGCTGCTGTTCTGGTCAGTCAAGCACAACTGGAAGCCATCCAGACGCAAACCAAAGAGCTCCGTGCTGAGGCACACGCAGGAGAAGCCATGGGCCTCAGCGCGCAGCTGCGGTCGGAGGGTCTCACGGCACAGGGTGGAGCCTCCACAGGGAAGACGAGCCTGCTGATGGAGACGCTGAAGGAGCTGGAGGAGGGTCTGAGCGGGATGCAGAAGGACCAGGAGCTGCAGAAGCAGCTGTTGAGCAGCTCTGAGGAGGAGGTGATGGAGTACGAGAGGAGGTTAGCTGTGATGATCGACCTACTGAACCAAATGAGAACCAGACCAACCCATCACAGACCGCTGCCGCCAGCTGAGGTGCGTCACTGTTATATTCAGATATAGGACTGTTAACTAGGACAAACTCTGATTTGTGACAAACGGTGTTTTAAAGGTGACATATCATGAAAATCTGACTTTTCCAGGTTGTAAGTGCAGTAATCAGGTCCCCGGTGCATCTACCAACCAAGGAAACATGAAAAAGATTAACCCAGTAACTTTGTTTTGGGAAGCATTTTTCTGCAAGCATTTGAGAAAACGAGCGCGTCTGATTTCGCTCCCTTAGTGATGTGGCGAAGGGATCTCATTATAATATTACCGCCCCTTAATCTGTGAGTTTCCACCCACGGCGCCATCATTGTGTTTTCGCAAGCGTTAGTTTAGTACTTACATGCTGTGACAGCCGCTTTCTGTGCGTGTGCTTCAGATGTGTGCGCTCAGAAAACCTTATATCAGAAGTTTAAACTCATATGGCTTAAAACACATGATTTCAGCTGATAAACATGATAATCAGAACCAAAACAGATGTTTTTAACAGGCAAGAGCTGTAATAGCGCAGCTCTATTCTGGAAAAGGGGGCGGGGAGCAGCAGCTCATTTGCATTTAAAGAGACAGGCCCGAAAAACAGCGTGTTTCTGCTTCCACTCAAAATAGGCATTTTCAAAATGATATAATAAATGATCTGTGGAGTATTTTGAGCTGAAACTTCACAGACACATTCTGGGGACACCAGAGACTTATATTACATATTGTAAAAAGGGGCATAATATGTCTCCTTTAAAAACACATCACATCGGTTTAACAGCGTTTAAACTCGTGTCTTCAGAAGGATCTGCAGAGCTGTAGGTGCTACACACCTGAGTTTCCTTCTGAGTTAAAACAGATGTGATGTTTTTAAACACTGTTGTTTGGTTTTTAATGTCTGTGAATCTCAGATTCCTGTTTTCTGCTGTTTCTTCATCAGATGAAGGAGAGCACGATCACGCAGCTCCAGACGGCCCTCAATCAGGTAGAGAATGAAACTTCAGCTCGTTACTAAATTTAGCAACTTTTCAGAGTACCCCAGCTACTTTTTCTTCCAAATGCACCGAGCAACACACTTAGCTTTTTTTTTTATTTTTTTTATTTTTTTATGTATTTGGCAACTTTTGATAAGTGACTCGGACAATAAAAAGACACATTTGCCATTTAAATTACACAAAAAGAGGAAAGATGCCTAGCAGTACACACATCACGTGAATTCATTGTTTATTTAATAATAAGCTAATAATAATTGAATGATCCACTCTTGTTAGTAGCTTGTACCTGCAATTGTTGATCAGTTAGTACACTGTAAGAAAAATATCTAGAAAAACGGAAAAGGTACTAGTAATTTTCCAGGACATTATCTGTTATCCATTATCTGTTGAAACCCTGTAAACTGAAAACGCAAAATACAGTGCGTAACTAAAAAAACAGTGGAAAAATCAATACAGAAAAATCCTTCACATTAACACATACAGGTGCATCTCAATAAATTAGAATGTCGTGGAAAAGTTCATTTATTTCAGGAATTCAGCTCAAATTGTGAAACTCGTGTATTAAATAAATTCAGTGCACACAGACTGAAGTAGTTTAAGTCTTTGGTTCTTTTAATTGTGATGATTTTGGCTCACATTTAACAAAAACCCACCAATTCACTATCTCAACAAATTAGAATACTTCATAAGACCAATAAAAAAACATTTTTAGTGAATTGTTGGCCTTCTGGAAAGTATGTTCATTTACTGTACATGTACTCAATACTTGGTAGGGGCTCCTTTTGCATGAAAATACACGAGTTTCACAATTTGAGTTGAATTACTGAAATAAATTAACTTTTCCACGACATTCTATTTATTGAGATGCACCTGTTGATTGTGCCCTATTTTTACACACTTTTCTTAGAGTGTAGCATACTAACTAATAGGGTTGCAGGGGGTGGAAAATTTCCGGAAACATTCAAAAAATCCCTCAAATATTCCCCAAAAAAATCCTGGAAAGTTTCCAAAATTTCTGGGAATATTTCGGAAATTTACTGGAAATTGTCCACATTTTTGCAACCCTACTAACTAACTACTAACACGCTGCTTAAAAGTATAATTGTTCAGAATGTGTAGTACTTGTTTACGAACTAATAACTAAAAACTTAAATCGTAACCGTCCAAAAATGTGTAGGTTTTCAATAATTCAATGCATTTAAAAATAGTTATTTATATGCATTTATGTTACTTTATGAACAGATCTAAATGAACATATGTAAAGTGTATTTGATGCAGTGACACAATGCTGCGTCGTGATTACAACAAATCAACCTTTCCCCTGGAAATGACCTCGGCTCAGCGCTAAACCTTGACTTCCTGTTCCTCCGCGCAGGTCTCCGCGAGCACGCGTCAAGAAGATGCTGCTGAGACGGCTCAACGCCTCCAGGAGGTCAGAGGTCAAACGAGCTGCAGGGATCAGAGAGCCAGACTGCAGGTGTCTAGTGTTTCACTACAAACTCGCTTCACTTCAGCTGTTAATACAAACTAAAACCAAATCACCATATTATTATTATAGATTTAATTAAGTAAATATATGCGATTTTGTGTGTGTGTCTGTGAGTGTGTGTGTGTGTGTGTGTGTGAGAGTCTGTGTCTGTCAGTGTGTCTGTGTCTGTGAGTGTGAGTGTGTGGTGTGTGTCTGTCTGTGAGTGTGTGAGTGTGAGTGTGAGGTCTGAGTGTGTGTCAGTGTGTGTGTGTGTGTGGGGGTGTGTGTGTGTGTGTGTGTGTGTGTGTGTGTGTGTGTGTGTGTCTGTGAGCGTGAGTGTGTCTGAGCGTGAGTGTGTGTCTGAGTGTGTGTGTGTCTGTGAGTGTGTGTGTGTGTGTGTGAGAGAGTCTGTGTCTGTCAGTGTGTCTGTGTCTGTGAGTGTGAGTGTGTGGTGTGTGTCTGTCTGTGAGTGTGTGTGTGTGTGTGTGAGAGAGTGTGTGTGTCGGTCTGTGTGTGTCGGTGAGTGTGTGTCGGTTAGTGTGTGTGTGTCTGTCTGTGTGTGTGAGTGTGTGTGTCTTGTGTGTTCAGTAATTATTAATAATAAAATCATTAGTTATTTCATAATTTTTTTAATTTTTCCCCTAAATCGTGCGGCTTTAGTCTGCGAGCTGTTTTTGCTGCTCAGCTGCACTCGCTGTGACCTTTAACCTCTGCTGCTTTCTCCGCAGGCGTCACAGGAGGGCGATCAGTCCACGGCGGAGCTGCTACAGGAGCTGCAGGAGGTCAAAGGTCAAGCGGCCGTCACCAAAGAAGAGCTGAAGAGCTTCCGAGAAGAGATCAAGGTACTTCCTGTCCACTTCTAGCTGAGCTTCCTGTCTGCTTCCCTCTAGTGCTTGATGAAGGAACCACGAGAGCTTCATGGGATTGTTAGAGTTTCCAAATATTTTACATAAAAGTGTCAAAACATAGATATAAATGTTCAGGAACCCGTGTTCTAAAGTATGTAAATTTTATTTTTCTAAATTTAAGAAGAGCATTTAAATCTCTTTACATTAATGGATTTTTAAAAATTGATTTATGAATTTGAATTTTACATTAATGATATAATTAACTTTACGGAGTATTTTATTTTAATTTGTTTTAATTTTTAAATTATTTTAATTTTGCATGTTTTATTATATAATATAAATATATTTTTTTATATATTTTTTTAAAATTATTTTATTAAAATGTTATGTTTTATGATTTAATTGATAAATGCTTCCTTTGCTTTAATTAAAAAAATATTTTATGCATTTTAATTTTACATTCTTATTATTTTATAATTTTGTTTTTATTTTAAAATAATTTTAATTTTTATGATTTAATTACTTTTTTGTACATGTCTTATTTCCATAGGTTTGGGTTATTTATTTTAATATACATTTTTAATTATTTAATTAATTTTAGTGAGTGCATTTTTATTTGGAATGTTTGTTTTTTTACTTAAAATAATTTACTAATTTTCCATTTTTTATTTTATTAATTTTTATTAAATGTTTTATTATGATTTTATTATGTTTTAAGTAAGTTTTTATTAATTTATTAGTATTATTATTTATTGTATTAATTATTTTATAATGTATTATAAATTATTAAATTAATTATTTATTATAATTTCACATTTTTATAATTTTAATTCATTTTAGCACACGATTGTGTGGAGTGACAGCAGCAAAATAATGCACAGAACTAAAGAATAAAACCTGAGCTTGGCTAAATCATCAGTCCAGACTTTCACAGAAACACAGACGTAACTCAGCTCTCTGTGTCGCTCTCAGCTCAGAGACGCGTCCATCGTTGAGCTGAAGGTCAAAGTTCAGGAGCTCCAGACCGCTTTGGCCAAATCCAGCGAGGTGCCGTCCCAGCCTAAACAGAAAGGAGAGCATCATGGGATGGACAGAGGCACAAGGAAAGCCCACAGGAGCTCCTCAGAGCAGTCGGAGAGCTCCTCGCTGCAGGAGGTGATGCTGGGATACGAGGAGAAGATTGCACAGATGCAGGAGCTGCACGCGGCTGAGATCCTGGACATGGAGGCCAGACACATCTCTGAGAGCGAGAGTCTGAGGAGAGACAGCCAGCAGCTGGAGGACGAGTGCCGAGCGCTGAGAGACGCCATCCACACGCTCCAGAGCTCACAGGTCAGCAGTGTTCGTTTTCACAGCAGATTTAGATTTAGTTTTAGTCATAGTCTTTTGACTAAAATGCCATTTAGTTTTAGTCGTATTTTAGTCATCTGAATTGTTTTTAGTTCTAGTCTAGTTTTAGTCGACTAAATATCATACGATTTTTATTCGACTCAATCTACAGTAAATTTAGTCGGCTAAAATCTAATGGGTTTAGTTACAGTGCATTTATTAAGCATTTCTCTAAAATGTCCAAACTCATTTTGATATTAAGGTTTTATCACGATAGGCACCGATTTAACTGCGGTGACACACAACATGCCTTTATGTTAAAATTAAATAAAACACTTTTCATAAAGAACAAGAACATGGTCTACTTTTTAATGGTTATATCGGTTAATTATGCATTCTTTATAGCAGCTTGTTTACCATATTCTTCATTCTTTCAAGCAAACATGTTTATTTCTATAAATAAATTTAGATGAATCTTTAAGGCTACTAAAGTTTTTCAGTCAAGAGCAGTGCGTGATTTTCTGTCTTTCTGTTGTTGCTTGATTAACATCAATGGCTCGGACAATAGCAACTAAATTAGGCTGCTGTCCCTTTAAAACCGAATGCATGGATGCAATGTACTGATTTTGTTCCTTAACCCATGATTTAACTAAAATGAGGGAACAAATTAATACATCGAACTAATTCTTAATTCATGGCCATGCAATCTTTCATTTCCCTTCTGCATGTTTACCACAGTAAGAGATGCGAAAACAGTGATAAAAGGTGAATGACAATAAAATAAACCTGCGAAATTAGAGGGTTTAGACGGTGAGGATTTAGGAAAAGAAGCAATGCCTAAATATTATAGAATTTGTGGAAATTCGTGACCAAGAACAAAGCCAATTAAATGTAGGCTATATGGGCATCCAAAAGCATGGTCGCGATGTGAGATTTTCCAGCTAGCCAAATATTCCTCTAATAAACAAAGCTTTTATACCACACTTGTCATAATCAGAGTTTATAATCTGTAAATAAATAATTACTGGATTCAAAACCTAGGCACAGGTTTTCAAGCCCTGGGATGCTTTAAGGAAAATGTATAGCCTATGTAAGTAATAGGCCTAAAATAAAAATAACAATTTGTTTTCATTTAAAAAAAAATAAAGAAAAATAAATTTATTAAATAATTAAGCTAACAGATTTCAAACAGAAGTGTGGCGCGGTGCTCCATAAACAGGTTCACGGAAAGGAAAGGATGACAACTGCGCATTCTGCTTGTTTGCTTTATTTAGCAAAAGCACAAATCTTGTTTTTATTGTGAGTGTGCAAAAATAAAAGTAAACACTTTTGCGGATTATATCTTAGGCCTACTCCAAAAGTTTTTTATGTTTCAGCTGTTCGATCGCGCCGGCGCCTCGCGCGCGTGCACACACTCCACATATTCTAGCACTTCAAGCTTACATCACAGTCTGTTCATTATCTAGTCATAATACTCGCATGATCATGTTTGATGCGAGCAACAGTGTGTTTTGCTGCAGCAGCGCCGATGGAAGCGGTTCACTGACTGCAGCACAGCCACACGCCACAGTTACGTTTGGGATCATTTTATTTTAAGTGCCATAATGCCAGTTGAAAACATTGCAATTGTGTTTTAAAATACAACAACGAGCACCACGAAACCATTAAAAGAGGCACGTTCAGCGGGCTCCGTGTCGGGATAGGAAACAGTCAACAAAGTAAAATGATCTCAAACGAGCTCTTCATTTTATCAAATGATCATAATCACAGCTATTCATTTTACGATCCTGCTACTAGCATTTTATTCAGACTAAACCCCTTTAAATCGGGTGAGAAAGCGGGTTTTTTGAGTGGCTTTTGCACATCCCGTCATGACTGCGTGCTGCTGCAATAGACACATTTTGCTGCATTAAAGTTAACGATTAATCGATCAATTGATCGTTAATTTAAACGACGATCGATCATGGAAATTATCGAAAATTGACATCCCTAGTAGGAACAGAAATAGATTAATTTATGACAAGAGTGCACCAAGAGTCTGACAAATCATAACAGCAGTTCTGACCTTTGTCACAAAAGGGCTTTATTTCGTTGCCTTTTCCCCGATCTCATGTTTTAGCAATCATCATAAGTTATATACCATTGAAAGCTTAAAATCTCAAAATTCATCCTGTGGAAACCATTTTGAAATCTGACAATGCTTTACCATAGAAATGGTACTTCAATATCTTTTAGCAGTCTCCTCCGCCTTTGCGGCGGGGGTGTTGTATTACAAAATGTATTACGGTATTTTAGAATCAAAACTTTATCATCTTGACAAAATGCATATCGTTGGCATATATATTAAGATTGGTGGTTATTTTGTGATAGAGGTAATATTGAGAGAGAAATTAATAGATTTGTGGCAGAAATGCATTAAAAACAAAATCAATAGAGTTTTGGTGGCACCCGGTGGCTGTTTGTGGTATAACGCCTAAACAAAATTGCATATGAACCTCAATTTTTTTAATATCAACTTCAAATTTGGAACACAACTTAATTTTCAATTTTATTCTATTTTTTAAAAAATTGTTATTTTATATAAAATAAAATAAAAATAGTACAATACATTTTCTTTACAGTAAATGTAAACTTCTATAACTTTTAATACTTTCATTTTATTAAATGATTTTCACTTCTGTAATAATCTGCTAATTGTCTTCTTTAAAAAGAGACCAGCCGTAGGCCTGTATTCAAAAGAGTTCATGAATTATAATAATTTAAGTTTGGATAGTGCACTCGTGAATTTTCAAAAATGGGGATGACCGTTAAGGGGTTAAGTAATTTTTCACAAACGTGCCTCAGAAAACGCACTACTGGTGTGCCTCCTGAGACGAAGCAAAGGCACTGATGTATTTTAAGATCAATCAGAGCAGGTTTCTTTCAGTTGAGACAGCTCAGACTTACACTTTAGTCTGGGACTAGTCTTAAGCCTCGTCTGTGAAACCCAGGGTCTGTCTTATTTTAGTATCATTGAGATAGTTCTATTTTTAAATTATTTAATTATTGTAATTTTACATTTTTATTATTTATTTCATTTTATATTTATTAATAATATTTTTTTGTTGTTTTTTAATATTTTTATCTTTTTTTTATATTTATTTTTTGATTTAATATTTTCTGTTTTCATTTTAAATTTAGTTCAAGTTTTAGTAGTTTTTGTTTTTTAACCAATTTTTTATCATTTTCATATTTTTTATATGTCTAGTATTTAATCATTTTTATTTCAGTACATCACGTTACACTAAATGAAAATTAGAAACGTTGCATTGACTGTAGTTTTTATTAATAATTTTAATTAATCTTTCATTTTTATATTTTCTGTTTTCATTTTTATTTTAGTTAACGTTTTAGTAATTTAGTTTTTTTTAATTTTTTTATTAGTTTTTGTTTTTTATATGTATATGTATATATTTCTTATTGATTTTTATTTCAGTTTTAGTTATTTCAGTACATCACGTTACACTAAATGAAAATGAGAAATGTTGCACTGACTAGTTTTTATTAATAATGTTAATTAGTTTTTCATTTTTCAATTTTAATGTTTTAGTCATTTTGTTTTTTGTCATTTTTTAAAATAGTTTTTGTTTTTATATGAATATATAATAAAAAAAATATTTCTGTTTTAGTTATTTTAGTACATCAAGTTACACTAAATGAAAATTAGAAATGTTGCCTTGGCAACTAGCTAAAATAAAATAAGTTTTATGTATATTTTATTTCAGTTAATGTTTAGTTTAAACTAACAAAACCAAACAAAATAAATGTTTTTGGGGTTTAGGTTTGCTATTATAACCTTTTTTTTACATGTGTAAAAAATCTAAATGTAACATTCATGAAAATAGTCATTTTATTTAGTTTTTAAGTAGCATGCACTAATGAATAATTCACGATAAAACCAGAAACATTTATTAAGCAAATAAGTAGTGAGTTTTGAAATTCTCCTTTAAATGAAAATAAATGTGTCTGTATTGTTAGTGATATCAGATGATGTTTTTCTCAGGCTCCGTCAGTGAGGTCTGAACATCCAGCGCTCTCTCCGTTTAAAGATGGATACGCCAGTGGTGAGAGGTTCATAATTACCACAAATATACATGTTTGTTTTGTGTTATGAGTCGTAAACACTAACGTTTACAAATTTAGGGTCAGTAAATTAAATTAAATTTTTGCTCTCCAAGGCTGCATTTATTTAATCAAAAATATAGTAAAAATTGTGAAATATTATTATGATGTAAAACAGCTGTTTTCTGTGTGAATCTCTATTAAACTGTAATATATTTCTGTGATCAAAGCTGTATTTTCAGCATCATTCCTCCAGTCTTCAGTGTCACATGATCTTCAGAAATCAGTATAATATGCTGATTTATTATCAGTTATTTTTTTGTAACCTGTGATAATTTTTTCAGGATTCTTTGATGAATAAAAAGTTAAAAAGAACAGCATTTATTCAAAATATAAATCTTTTCTAATTATATAAATCACTTCTTCTCAATTTAACACGTCCTCGCTGAATAAACGTTTTAATTTCTTTCAAAAAAAGAAAGAATAAAAATGTACTGACCCCAAACTTTTGAACGGTAGTGTATATATTGTTAGAAAGGATTAGGATATTAAAATAGAAACCATTATTTTATATTGTAATAACATTTTGCAAGATTACATTTTTTTTCTGTATTTTTGATCAAATAAGTGCAGCCGTGATGAGCAGAAGACACTTCTTTAAAAACATTAGAAGTCTTACTGATCCCACACTTTTGAGCGGCAGTGAAAGTAACTACTGCAGAAGACTTCAGTCCTGATTGGATATCTTCTCAAATCATCCTTTCGTCTTGTTTTTTATTCGCTGACGAAAACGAGAGTGTATTTCAGTTTTAGTTTTTGTCATTAAAAACCGGTTTTTATTTAGTAGTCGTCTCGTTTTTGTTGGTGAGAAAATGTCGTTGACGAAAATGGACTTCGTCAGTGAAATTAACAGATCACGAATGTCTTCACTGGCACTTTTGATCAATTGAACGTGATCGTCCTTGATGAATAAAAGCATTGATTTCTCATGTATGTGTGTGTGTGTGTCGCAGACAGCGGTTCAGACTGGAGTCACCTGCAGCAGGAGAAGCGCAGCACACCTGAAGGAGCGCGCCGAGACACGGAGCCAGACCTTCTGCCCGACAGGATCAAGGTGAGTTTGCTGGAGAACATCTGACTGCATAAAGAAGACCGCGAGCGGATGAGGAGCTCAGGGAGCAGGGATGATTTTGGCCAGTTCTCATTTGTGACCCTGGAGCACAAAACCAGTCACAATTTTTCGAAACTGAGATTTATGCATCATCTGAAAGCTGAATAAATAAGCTTTCCATTGATGTATGGTTTGTTAGGATAGCACAATATTTGAAAATCTGGAATCTGAGGGTGCAAAAAAATCTAAATATTGAGAAAATCATCTTTAAAGTTGTTCAAATGAAGTTCTTAGCAATGCATATTACTAATCAAACATTAAGTTTTGATATATTTACGGTAGGACATTTACTAAATATCTTCATGGAA